TGCTGCTTGGCCTGCTGTGTTCATCCAGCTCTACACCTTGTTTTCTGTGTAAAATATTCAACAATTTAAGCTGAATTTAAAAATATTATTTCATTCAATATAATTTTGCCAGTGGGGCAGCTTTCCACCTTGCAGATGTAAGAAAGAAATATACTGGGCACAAATCTTTTGATGTTATTTACTCACATTGCTATACAACTCCCTACAGGTGATAGGCACACTTTACTGCTGATTAAATGCCTCCTGCAGACACTGTCTCAGGCCCACACAATAATGTCTCACTTCAGAATAACTGCACATGGGTGTCTCACCAGCTCTGGCAAGGGACTAGCATGAAGTCAAGACGACATCCACACAGTAAAATATGAGAGCGAGTTTGATGTGACTTTACATCTCCGTGTCAACACGGAGGAGCACATGATTCACTGAAAAGGAAAGACTTTCTACTTTAGATTATTTGACTAAATGGGATGCTTATGCTTCAAGCACCCTGTACTTCAGTGGTTAAACAAGAGGGGGGGCCAGGAAGATCATCTTGAACAAATATGCAGATTTTAGTTGCCTGAAGGTGGTTTTTTTTTTGGTTATTTATGAACCAGTCTGCGCAACAGAAGTAATTTCCCAGCAGGTTAAGTGTTAATTTTGGCTCTGCAATCAAAAAAAAAGCTTAAGCAAGAATTTTCCTCACTAGTTGTCACAGAACAGTTCTTAGAACAGTACAAAAATCAAGAGATAAGATTCATCACAGCCTTGAATTTTAGGCCTCAAATATACCACAGATACAGATAGTGGACAAGTTAACCGTTCACATTACGTCAAACTGAGCCACAATATTCACAAGTGGCATGCAATAAGCAAGACGACAAGGCTAGTGTAAGAAATGTACAGGTCTTCAAAGTGCATAGCTAACCAACGCCAGGATATTCAGACAGGAACAGGAAAATGACATTGTTAAAGAGCTACAGCCTCTAGTCATGAATCACTGGACTCATTTGCTCCACCAGAGACAACAGATGCTGCTTGCAGCAAACTAGCTCAGGCCTGAATAGGCCAAGATCTGGACCCATCAGATTATGCACTCAGACCGACAGGTCGGAGACAAGCAATGCAGAGAAGTGCATTTCCCAGATTCTCAATTCTCCTTACTAGATTCTTCAATGGGGAAGAATTGAGTGTTGCACTAGCGTGGTATTGTACAAAATACACAGCCAGCTGTTAATGCTGTGGAGCAAAAAGCTGTGGCACTTCTTTAGCAAATCCCTCAGATCGACTGGGAAGTAAAACTGTACTCTACTGGCCCATAATCAATCTGGGGAAAAAAACAAATTTCACCCCCAAAAGGTTTACAGGAACCTCGTTTCAAAGCAGGAAAAGCCTGTACTAAAGCCACTTACTAACGGCTTTTGAGACACTTGCCCACTACTGTTCTGAACAGTTGGGCACAAATTAAAGGTATAATAGTCATCCATTGGCTGGTTCAGTGGTGCATCGCTAGTCTTTGCAAGTAGGAAGCACAGCACACAGGATTCACTTCTCCTCAGAATACCTCTGACTAGATCACTGTTATTGCAACAGCATGCCACTAGACTGGAACCTTTAAAGCCAGCCTTTTAGTAAGTTTGGACAGTACTGGTTAAAACACACATTTGATTTATCTTTTGAAGCATAACTATAAAAAAAATTGATTTATGAAGATGAATGAACCTGCTCCATGCCTGTAAAGAAATTCGCTCCTACAGCGTGCATTAACGAATATATGGGCATGAATATGGCAAGTCCCTGACTTGAGTCGGAAGCATCTGAAAACATGAAAAATGTCACTACTGGATAAAGAAAAAAAATCCTATTACTTCATTTCAGGAGAAATCCAACACCCCACAGATACACAAATACTCTGTGCAAAGACATCACCGTATTTGGTGTCTGTTAATAGCGTCATGGTTGATACACTGATTTGGAATTGGGACTATCACCATTTTGATTTAAAAAAGAACCTCCTTCACTTGACAGCAATTATGCTGAAATTTTGATAATTAAATGAAAACTTTGTTTTTGAGTGACCAAAATCACAATCAATTTTGGTGGATTAAAACCAAACTGATTTCCTCACACACAGCAACCTCAATATCTGGGGCGAAACAGAATAAAATCTTTCAAAGCATTTAAAAGTAAATTTCTTCTTTATGCAACAATATTCACAGGGCAATGTGCAGTCTTTAGCGCTGGTCTACAAATGGCTGAGGAGAGGGGAAGCGAGTACTCTGGTTTACCTTGGAATAACACTGGCATGACAATATTTCAAGGAAAAACTATCCCCTTTAAAACGCCTCTCAGCCAAGACTGTTTTGGCATTTAATTGTTGCTGCAAGAGGATTTCTGGAATGACATTTCAATGTCACAAAAACAACTACCTCAGCTTAAATCCTGATCTCCGTACTGGTTCAGTAGGTTCTGAAAAAGAAACAAATGGAGGTTTTTTTCTTTGAAATGGGAGCCAAGTCCCACCCAATTCCCTATTTACTCCAATGAAGTCAGAATCAACATCGGCCAATTCTTGCGGGGGAGGTGGTTTTTGGATATAAATGGCCACCCTCCTCCTCCAGTCCAGCTGAGTTGGTGGGTGGCATGACCTGATGGATAAGACTAGATATGCAGTAGGCAAGGAGCTCAAAATGGAAAGTGGTTAAGTAGGTGCAGAGTGGCTCAAGTTTCTCAACGGCTCTCAATAACAACAGGCTCAAAGACACCCGCAGACACCCTGTGGAGAAAGAAACAGCTCATTACTTACAGAAAACAGACTGTGAAAACAAATCATTGCATTTTCTTGCTGGAGCTCTGACACCTTAAGCATAAGAACTGCAAGGACTCACTTGAGCACAGCACAGGTTGGATGGTGGAAAGTATATTTTCCAAAATTGGACAAGATGCCCATTATGAGAATTAAAACTATTGATGTGAGAGATTAGTTAGTTGAAGGAATAGCTGACAACCTGTATTTAACACTTTTCACCTTTAAAACAAACCAAGGCACTTCACAAGAGCACTATCTTGTTGGCAGCAGAGGAAGAAAAAACTCTCTGCATAAAATTTTTAATGTTTTCAGAAAGAATGCATTTATAATTTTAGTACAACTGGCACGAGGAAATGCTTTCCTCAGGGGGGGCTGTTCACACAATGCGAAACAAAATATCGAATCATGTAATTTATGCACCTGCCAATTACAACATTGCATTCAAATATTTGCAGATTTAAAGGATAAATAAATCTTACTCCAAAAGTATTCCTCTGAGCAAACAGCAGAATGACAAATTGATGACTGAAGGGGCCCAACTTCATTAGATAAATCACAAAAGGGTTTTATTTCAAAAGTGCAAAAGAACCATTTTGAACAAAATCCCACACCAATAATCTGTGGTTCAGGATAAATTACCCAATGATACAGGTCTACTCAGCTACAGTTTATGAAACGCACCTGTTCCCCAGCTGAATGCCACCGAGTGCTGTTGTTCCATCTCTGCTTACAAACAGCCTCAAATTACTGTCTGAAAATGAGAAGAATACACAACATCAGCATACCGTACAAAAAAAACAAACAGCAGACACCTGCATAGCTCGAGAACATTTGCCTTGGGCAGCAGCTCTCCTTTTGAGAGCACTGATTCAGAGACTTGAATTCATATAGCACCTCAACATGTCTATTAAAGCAAGTAACGTATCACAGCATGAAAGTAGCTGTTTAGCAGGTAAAGACATCAGCCATTCTGCAAGTATATTTAAGGCTGAGATAGATTTTTAATCAGTTAGAGAATCAAGGGGTAAGGGGTAAAAGGCAGGAAAGTGGAGTTGAGGATTATCAGATCAGCCATGATCTCATTGAATGGTGGAGCAGACCCAACAGGCTGAATTAGTAGACTTCAGATCCTGTGTCTTATGGTCTTAAGTTTTTACAAAAACAGGGAAATAAATGGCCAGTTAGTTACAGTTTGAAGGAGTTTGCTGAGCAATGTTATATCAGGGCAGGAGAGCTACCAGCTCTCCTTGAAGGAATGGTGGCCTGACATCTTTTTATTGTGACGTACAAGTCAATTACAAACAGCGAGGAAAAAAAATAGGTGATGTCTTGAATTTAAAGATTCATTGAAGAGTTGGGAATTCTAATAATCTAGCACCCCACTGGTAGTGCAATGGACTGTCGTACCGAAATGGCAAAAGGATTGATAGAATCAATTAGGTCATTTCTCCAACTGGAGCTTTTTTTGTGACTGTTTCTCCCCCTCCAAAGGTCAGGTTAGAGGATTTGCGGTTGGCTGATGAATGTTAGAGGCCTGAGAATGAACATTTGGTTGAGAATCAGTGGAGAAAAATAAAAAAGGGGCCTAAAATAAAACACAAGAGATGTCAGAAGTAGACCATATGGTATACTGAACCTGCTTTGCCATTCAACATCATGTCTGAATTTCAATTTCAACTCACTCCCCAAAACATGATAGCAAAAGCTCAGCCCTGCTGGCCTTAAATGTATTTAGCAATACAGCATCCGAAGCCTCGGGGATAGAGGCTTCCAAAGATTCACAACCTTGCATAAAGAAAATTTATCCACATGTCAGTGTTGAAATTGAACAGCATCTCATCTTGAGACTTGATCCTGTCTTTTAGATTCCCTAGCCAGTGCAAACAACCCATCAGTGTCTAACTTAAGTCCCTTTAAAATCATCCAAGTTTTTCCAATGAGATCTGTCTAGAGAGAATAAACATCTAATTTACTCAGCCTCTCTTCATAGGATAACCCTATATTCCCAGGGACCAATCTTGAGACTCTGTTGTACTGGCTACAATGCATCATGTCTTTAAAAACAGACAAAGTGCTCCATCAACACCCTTTCTCCCCCAAACCCACCCCCAACTATTGCACAAATGCTGTCTTCCACACTTCACGTCAGCTCTGAAGAGTCATCTAGACTCGAAACATTAGCTTGCTCTCTCTGCATGGATGCTGCCTGACCCACTATGATCTCCAGCATTTTGGTTTTCAGTTCATCTTTAGATGGAAATTATGTAATCTTCTGATACCTCAGATTAATATAAAGAACCAGGTCATAGAATTGAGGGTTTAAACTTGGTTTGATACTTATTTAAAAGCTATATTCAAGAAAGTTGAATTTAAAAGTGTGAGAAGGCAGTTCAACAGCCCCTATCCAGAGGTTTGCTCAGATGATCATTTTGCTTGCTGGTACTTTGTTCTGTAATCTCTCTCTTCTCCAGGTACTTTTTGCTTCTTTGCAGAGGCAGAGGCGACTGGTTCATAACTTATAAAACCTTTCACTTATTGGTTAAAAAGTAACAATGTACAGCAACTGATAAACTGGCTTTCTTCAGGTTTCAGGTATTTTCTACTGCAAGGAGGGATGCACCACCTCTCCTTCTGGATATCTGAAAGCTTCTGGCCATACTGATCACATCCACAAGCTGTTAAACTATTCAGGAGCTAATCACAGTGGTTGGCAGTCAGATAACTGCTCACCACTCCTTAAACCAAACAGCCTCTTATTCCTGGCCAAATCTCACTTTGCATACACTGCTGACTTTGTCCCATCTGCAACTGACTGCCCCCACTGGTTGAAGAAAGCAGCAGTGTAAACACCACTTAAAAGTATTGCTAATTATCTTTTTAGTACAGCAACCCCTTCCACAATCCTCAATTTTTAAAACCATTCTTTTCCAGTTCTGAAGGGTCACTGGACCTGAAACATTAACTCTGATTTCTCTCCATAGATGTTGCCAGATCTGCTGAGATTTTCCAACAATTTGTTTTTGTTTCTTTTCCAATTTCAGTCCACAGTCAAAAATACAGAAAGAGAAAGTTTTTATACTAACCATAACTTCCCAAAATCCCCGAGCTGTGATAAAGGACTGCATATTTCATTCTCATTCAAGAATCTAAGAGAAGGCAGATAGACTGTCTTATCTTGTGTGTGGGCAAGGAAGTCTCCCTCTGATCAACTGATGAAATGGTATTCTTTCACATTGAGCACCACTTGGGAGAAATCCTGAGGTGGCAAGCGCAGATTGCACTCTGGATGAAGGACTTCAATCTCTATCAAAAGTGAGTTACCATAACCATTACTGACTGGATGTGCAGCAAGCAGTGAGGAACCAAGGAGGGGAAAACCTACTAGACCTTATCTTCCCAAATCCAGTCGCACATGCGTCTTTTCATCGGTAGGAGTAATCACTTCACAGCTTCAGCAACAGGAAGTGGAGTTTTTAAACAACAGAGCAGAGAAAGCCATTTTCCCCATCAGGCCTGTGCCAGTTCTTTGTAAGAGTTATCCACACTCAATCCCATGCCCTTTCTCCATAAAGTAGCCAACAGCTTTCCCTTTCCACATACACATCCAATTCACTTTTGGAAATTACTGAATCTGTTTCCACAGTCCTTTAAGGCCATATATTCCTAATTATAGCCCATTGTGTAAGAGAATATTCTCATCTCACCTCTGGCTTATTTTGCCAATTATCTTAATGTCTGAAATAAAAACAAAATACTGTGCAGTCTGGAGATCTGAAATAAAAACAAAGTGCTGGAGAAACTCAGCAAGTCTGATAGCATCCAACATGTTGGACGTGAGCATTAATTCTGTTCTCTCCACAGACACTACCAGACTTTCAGCATTCTGTTTTTATCTTGTGCTATGCTTTGTGACACAGACTTTTGAAACACATTATAATCTCAGCCTCAAATTGCAGCAAAGCTGAAAGAGTGACTGGACAAATACTAAGAAAGGGAGCATGAAGGAGTACAGGAAAGACAGTTAAGTGGAATGAGATCAATTTGGAGATATAGAAGAGAACAGCTAAGTGTCCCTGCCCATGCTGTAATTTCTACAGTACTTGTGTGGTCCAACTGGCAATAGAGAGAGAAGATTTGGCAACTGCTGAAAATCAATATATTTCTATAGTTGTCTCATCGCAGAGCACACATTATGGTTTTCTCCATGAGTAATGGAGGCATGTGATAAACTTTGTGGCAGAGTCCAGATTCTTGACAGTAACAATCATACTGCTGGACAGAGATGGAGGTCAGCGCGCACACACATCTAAACAACACTCGCCTTTTCTTGTGAATGTCCAAGTCATACTAACCTCACAATAGATCTGCAATATTAGGTAGCATTTTGGAAGGAGGTAGACCCCCCCCCAGTTTGGGTGATTTGACTGTTAACAGTCCTCCTATCTACTGAAAAGGCAGCACAACCACTTGGATGAGGTAACAGATAGCAGACAATGTCCCTGAATTAAGAGTGGGAGCTTGGCAAGCTTACCTTCAGCATTACTGACATCTGTGAAATCTTGACTCTGCACGATTTTTTCCACAATGTCATCTGCATCGATTCTGGTGTCATCAACCCAAGTAGGTTGATTCTCGACTGTTTCCTTTTTCCGTCTGAGGAATGAGGAACCCATTAGGAACAATACAACAATGCACTTAAAAATTAGATCAACTGCCAGTGCACGAAGAGCCTCGAAATTCAAAAGTTAGCATAACCTCTACAATACTTTACTGGAATGCTGACTGACAGGCCTTTCCTGTCAAAATCATTCTAGCTGCAATCGGATATTTCATCTTGTGAATCAGCAAAATCAATCCAGTCTCTCTCCCCAGCAATCCACACACCTGCATTTTCCAGCTGACGTGTAAAATTAAAAGACCAACTGCAGCATCATCCACACAGGTCAGGCGAGTCAGCACAGCATAGGGAGGAACACAGCATCTGTGAGATTTAGACACAAAAGTACTTGCTTGCCAAGCCACCAGCACTTTGGTATCCTTAGTGTGCTGTTAGTGATCCCGAATCAGAATGGAATTTACAGACAGCACACTGCGGTGCTGATAGATTGCACAATACTTCTGCAGCACAGGCACAAATAGGCCAAGGTCACAGATCCATGATGCACTAAGTTGCTTTTTTGTCCCTTCATTATCAGGAGTACATTGTTGACACACTCCAGGTTTGATAATTATTTCTAAACTTTATGCCTATTTTTTGCATGGTTGAATACAATACAGGTCAGATAAAGATTCATGTACTTTTTACTCTGTCCACATTCCTTCAAGACCAATTCTCGGATTTTTTTTTTTGAAAAAAAGAGGCTGCATATTCAATACCAGCCAGTAATGGAATATTTAAGTCTCAGGCCACACAGAATCACCCACTAGAATATCAAGAGAGATTTCCAGTGGTCATTCCATACAGGACATTTGCTACCAGCAGAAACAACTTTCATCAAATAAGTCTGGGTTGGATTGGCCTGTGAAAGGTCAGCTTGTATTCTAAATAGACAGTAGCGTGGGGACAAATCAACACAGTGCCTCTGAACATCTTAACTTGGCCATTAGACTGTATACACGGTCAGAGGCTAAATTCCAGATATTCAGCTATTTGAATCTTGCTCACTCGAATTTATTTATTGCTCAAAAAAAGTAGAATCATGTAGTATCTTACAATAAATGAAAAGGAAAAGCACAATTTCAATTTGAACAAAGAATTGAAAGTTGCTTCATCTGAATCATGTGCAGAATGCCTGTAAAACCCAAGCGTCTGGAGCTATAAAATACCCACCCATTTAGTCAGACTTTTCCAGTTAGGGAATGCAGGGTGTGAAGATGCATTTGCTTTTAGAGTAGAAAACCTTTAATTGGACAAGAATGCTTTATCTACCAGGTTTTTTTTTTAAAATAAAAAAGTGTGCAAAAAGTTAGACTATAGACAAACATTTTCTGATCTGGAACAGACAGATCTGAGATACAGAACAGTGCGGAGTTTGAAGAAATGCAAAGACACAATATCACAAACTGGTAACAGTAACACCCTTCACATCAAAACTGTACACACAACGTTCCGTGGTCTCACCTTCTATGGGTCCTGCTATCAGGATGTGCACTATCCAGAGATAGGGAACTACCTCTTTTAAAGAGAACAGCTGTGTACCTGGGTGGCCTTTCTGGTGGGAGTGCTGGCCTCGGGGGCCGGGGTGGTCTCTCCGCTTTGTGTTCCTTCTCCCCCTCTGTGCTCTCAACGGTTATACTGAGCCCTCCAGAGGCACTGCTGCTGCTGGATGTGTTACGCCGGTGAGTGAGGTCCGAAAGGCTAGAGGACCGAGAGTGCTCAGTGCTGTAACCTGTGTTTTAAAACAATATTGAAATTGGAAATAAAAATGTCTCAATTACAAACAAAGAATTTTCCTCTGCAGATCTTAACCATGGACTGATTTTCCAATTTTGGGATCATTCTTCTTAGTTCTAATTTTAGTCAATGGCAATTAGTTAAATGTTGCGATTCCATTTGGGCTATTAAGAACTAAACTATTCATTTACAGCACTAGTCGTATAGCATAATGAATCTAATTCAATAAGTTGACTTACCCCCTGGCTTTCTAAAGAGCAAACCACCTCAAGGGGATATGGGCGTCATGCAATAGACTGTGAATCATGCAACTCTATTCCTCTGCATGTGATCACAATAGGCTTTCATTGTGGCATTAAATTTTACTTCAAGATCATTTTCACATGAGATTAGTGTACATTAAAATAATAACAGGGAGTAAGCAGAATCTGGTGTTTAATCTGTTCATGACATCATCCAAAGCACAAACAATCTGCAGCTGTAATGTGCATACCAAATGTTTAATATCTCATCATGACAGTTACCATGATAGTCAACATGAGCGTTCTTAGCTTAGTGAAGACTTACACTATTTGTCTCTTTTTTTTAAAAATGGGATGTGGGTATCACTGGCCAGGATTACACCGAGTACTGAGGAAGGGTCACTCAACCTGAAACCAGAGCTGCTGAGTTTTTCCAGCAATTTGTTTCGTTTCCGATGTACAGTATCTGCAGTTTTTAAATTTTTTATGAAGGATTACATTGGTTGTCCTTCCCCAACTGCCCTTGAACTAAGACGCTCGTCAGGCCATTACAGAAGGCAGTTAACAGTCAGTCACATTGCTATGTATCTGGAGCCAAATGGGGACCAGACCACCCAAGGACAACGTATTTCCTTCCAAACAGTCTGTAATCAAGTTTGGAAGGTTGACAGTGATTAAATAGAGACATTTAACATGGTAGAGAATTGATTTTTTTGGTGGTGGTGGGAGGGGGGTGGGGAAGAGATAAGAAAAAAAAAAGAAGTGTTCCTTGATGGAGGACTTGAGTGAGTTGGTAATAAATATAGGCCTTGTCATCCATATCCATGATCTTGGCAGCAATATCAAAATCCACTGATCTGCACAGGCAAACCCAATTTATCAATCTCAGCCACTTGTGTAGTGGTGCACTGTAATAAAATAAATCTATCATACAGGCCTCAGAGCAACAAGGTCAAATTAGTCCCCAAAACCAGTACTGAGGAACCTTTGAGGAAACGTCAGAAAGAATTTAGAAGATTTGGAGGTAACTGGACTTAAACAAAAGATCCTGAGGAGTCTTGACAGGGTGGATGTGGAGAGGATGTTTCCTTTTATTGGAGAATCTAGAACTAAGGGGTCACAGATAGAGCAAAATATTTTTGGGTCATAAGTCTTTGAAATTCTCTGCCCAAAAAGGCAGTAGAAATAGAGTCATTAGATATTTCAGAGAGTTGGATAGATTCTTGGCAAACAAGGGATGTAATGTTATCAGGGAAGATGGCAAACGTGGATGCCACGAATAATCAGACAGCCGTGATTTTTAAAAGGCAGAGCAGAGTTTTTTGGTGGGGACGCCAGGGCGGCTCGGTAAAGGGGGTTAAAATGGCCCTTCCCCTTGTTCATATGTATAGTATTTAGAAAACATGCTAAACATAAAAAAACTTTGTTTAATGTGCTTAGCTTTTTTGCACCTGTAACCCTGCATTGACAACTATGCTGAAACACATGCTGCAAGAGAGACACCAATTCCACAGGGGATCCTGAACTGCTCCCATTCTACTGCACTGCTTCTGAAGCCAGCATGCAGATTTAACAGATTAGTGGGGAAAAAAAAGTTGCGTGCTTTATGACCTTAATCGTAAACAGCTTTAGTTCTTCATCTACTCCAGCTTTACTCAGGTCAAGCTACAGCAGCTTTCCCGAGACTTGCTTTCAAATGGTTAGAGGTTGTGATACATCCGAAGCATGGGACAAGAATTTGGACAAAATCTGAAACAGTGTGTATTTTAATTACTTATGAGTAAGACAAAAAAAAAAGTTAAATCAGATAGCTTAGGGACAAAATCATTTCAGGATAGAAGTGAGCAAATTTCCTTTCCTGGTGGTTTAGAATTTGTTGTGTAGAATGTAAGGAGCTTTGCTTTGTAGCTGACTGGGGTTATAAGTGCTCTGGAGTGAGTGACAATTACAAGGTGTCGAAATAAGCAAGCTCTCCTTTCCTCAGAACTGACCCCTTTTTTACTCTCACAGCAAGGCAGCAAAATAGTTTAAGAAACAGATACAACAAACACAAAAGGTGTGCGAATCCAGGACAAGATACATGACATTGGGATGTTAAATCTGGAAAACAACCGAATTGTACTCCACCCCTAATATAGGATCGAATTACTCTGACAAAATGGAACAAAAGACAAAAGATGTTTGCAGACAAATTGTTGACATAGTCATTGCAACAGAAAAGGCCACCAAGAGTTCTGATGTTCTGTTACTGTCAGTTCTTTGCATTTGCTTCACCTGAAAGACTGGGTCATAGTCATTTCTTGCATCTTATTCCAGTCGCCTTCTTTTGGAAGCTTCAACCCTCTACCCCATGCCTAGCTAGGCATTACTGCTAGCAGCAAGTACCTATTTGTCAAACCCCAAGTGCACTGGATAAGAGTGACAAAATCAGATGATATTTGCGGAAGAAACACTACATAGGCTAGGGTTGTTTTCTTTAGTGCAGAGAAGACTGAAGGGAGACCTGATTGAAGCTTACAAGATTATGAAGGGCATATATAGGGTCATTAGGAATAATGAATTCCCTCAGTAATTACCAAGGCATACAGTTTTAAGGTAGCAGGGGAAAGAGATCTAGAGGATGTTTGAGAAGAATTTTTTCACCTAGAGGGGGCAGTGGGTGTCTGTAAGGGAGGAGGAGGCAGGAACCATTACAGCATTTAAGAAGTCTTTGGATGATCCCTTGGAATCCAACAGCATAAAAGGCTGTGGGGCCAAGAGCTGGGAAATAGGATTAGGTTAAATAGGTGCAGACACCATAGGCTCGAAGGTGACTCTGTATTCTAAAACTCTGCCTATAAATTTCCATTGCTTAAAACATTGCAAAGGCCAGCCAATGCTTTTTTTTTAAAAAACTGCAGTACAGGAAAAGCTCAATTCACCTCATCTTTACACAAAGCAGCAACTAGAAAAATGGGATTGAAGGGTTGTGTGGAAGCATTTGTTTAGCTTCTAATCACACAGCTTTGTTTCTTTTAAAATCCGGCCTTATCCTCACATGGGCTCTGCATCCTGCCTCGGTAGCCTAGTGTCACTTTATTCTAACAACTGCTCTCCTACACTGTCCATTTTTACTGTCCTAGAATTCTTTCCCCCTTTAAGATAATTTACTATTCCATCCAAGCCTGCTGATCTACCCTCAGAAACTGTGGTATGTGCTGAACACAAGGCTGGAGAAAGAAAATTAGCCAAACAAACAATAACGAAACCTATTTTCCTATCATCAGATCAATATTGTGTTACTCAACAGTTTACAGACAGCACTATCCTGAATGTCTAAGACTGCAATTCAGAGCCTTCAGGCTCCCCAAAAATTGGCAAAGACACAGGAAGAAGCAAAGGAAATATTTACCTGACACTTTAGAATGCTGACTGGCATAGCTGGAATTCCGAGAATGACCAGTTTGAAATACTTCATCTGGACTGGACGGGGTCTGATCGGCATCTTCAGTCAGGCCTAGGAGAAACACAGTGCAAACACGGAGGTATTGTGAGCCGTTCTTTGTTTTCTTATAACAAGATGAATTCAAGATTCATGCAGGACAATGACAAACTGGAACACAGTGGTGCATCAAGACAGCATGCCACCCTGAAACTCTGCTCAGCTAATGAAGCACACCTACTGATCGGGGCTGAGTCCAATCTGTTCCACCTGCCTGACAACAGGAGTTTCTGCTGTGGAATAAATGAATGAGTGGGAGGAAAGCCATACTTATACTTGCCTTTAAAAGCAAAAGCCATTACAACAGGAATGAGAACGCCCAGCACCCTCAGCAGCATTCAACACAAACACGTTACGCTCAGTAACATTCTATTCTTAAAATGCACAGGTCCTTGAAAGTGATCTTAGTTTTGTGCCCTGATCACTTGGTATTTTAAATTAAAAAAATGTATATTGTAGCAAATTTGCCATGACATCGCTGATGGTAAGAAGGATGATTTAGTCATTGGCAAAAAGTCAGAGGTGGAAGGAGGAGGAATGTCTTTTATACACAGTCTGCTATTAAGAACTGGAATGCAGTGCCTGAAAAAAATAACAATTTTCAAAAGGGCATGTGATAAATACTTGAAAGTAAGAAAACTGCAGAGCTATGGTGAAGGAACAATGGAGTGCAACTAATTGAATAGCTCTTTCAGAGATGACAATGGCTGAATGGCTCTCATGTTCCGCAGGTTTTGATGATCTATTGTATGAAGCTACTGTTAAGATTGACAATGAAATGCAGAGTTATTATGCTAACATGCAGTTGGGTATAAATAGCATGCCCCTCAGAGGCCACAAAACAAATGCTGTAAATAGCTATATCATAACATCACCTCCTCATTGGCAGTTTATATTTCCCATTTTAATTGAGGTTTACATTATTGAATCTAATGCGGAGGAACCCCAACACTTGGGTATAAAGTGTAATGTATGGCAGTTAACCTTCCTATCATGTAAAATATGTGTTCAACAGATCAGCAGGACATAAGAGCAACAACTTGTTAAAGTTAAAAAAGTGCCAAGATGTTCCATATCAATAAGACAGTTTGAGTTTACAAGTCAACAGGAAACTGAACTTTTGTTCTAATATATAATAGCTTTTCAAGACAAGAGTGCACTAATTGATATCCCTGCTGATCAGATAATAGGAAGTCATTAGGAACACTAAGGAGATGCCATAAAATGGTTGGCAACACTGTTTTAAAACATGACCACTTGAGCTGAAAGCCTGATTGATGGTTCAGGCAGCCAACTGCAGTGAGCAAGATGGGTCTGATCAACATAAGCAGTGGCCGAGGCCCAGTCAGATTACCAAGGACAGTAAAATCAACAAAAGGAAATTAGATTACTTGCAACGAAGACAAGGTTTGCACAGACTGCTTCAGACACACGTCCAATGTGCTTCTTAAAAATAAAAATCCCCATCTCTATTTCCTTTGAGAAAGTTGCTTGTGGAACAGAGCAGCAAACAGTTCAACGGCATTCAGTGCAAATTATAACACTTTAGAAACCCTCAGATAATGAGGAATAAGCAAGTGATAAACAATAATGTCGGCCCCATTTAATCAAGTCAGATTAATGGGTCTGTCGCATTAGATCATTCTTAATCTTTTCAAGGAATGTAATGAGTCTGCAGAGAACTGTGTTGTTTGTTGCAGATTGGTGGAAATGACTACATATAGCAGTTGCATTTCATAATTTATATTAACATAATAAAAACACCCCAAAGCACTTCACAGGAGCATTGGAAAACATTCAACACCACAAGCATTCAAAAACAGAAATTTTAGGTTAATGATAAAAAGCTTGGTCAAGTAGGTAGGTTTCCAGGAGTGTCATAAATGTTGGAGATGTAGGAAGGGAATTCCCAAGATTGTCTAGACATTGAATCCCTATAGTGTGGAAGCAGGCCATTTGGCCAATCAAGTCCACAGCAACCCTTTGATGACTATCTTACCCAGATTCACTCTCCTCCCTTATCTCTAACTCTGCATATCCCATGGCTAATCCACCTAATCTACACATCCCTGGATACTATGGGCAATTTAGCATGGCCAATCCACCTAACCTTTGGACTGTGGGAGGAATCTGAAGCACCCAGAGGAAACCCACGCAGACATGGGAGAGGTGGAAGGAGGAGGAATGTCTTTATACACAGTCTGCTATAAAGAACTGGAATGCAGTGCCTGAAAATATAGATGTGCAAACTCCATATAGACAGACAGTCACCCGAGGCTGGAATTGAACCTGGGTCCCGGACATCAGTGAGACATCAGCGTTAACCACCAAGGCACCATGCTACCTCAGCTGGCACATCTGAAGGCGGTCACCAAGAGTAGATGGATGAAAGTCAAGATATGTAGGAGGCCAGAATTAGGGGAGATAGAGATCTTGGAAGGCTGTAGGGCTAGAGGGGATTACAGAGGAAGGGGCAGACAAGGGGATTTGTTAAGAACAACAATATTAGAATCGTGACTTTGCTTGATTAAGGATAAATATAGGTCAGTGAGCAGAGTGTAATCAGAGAATAAGGCTTGCCGCAAGTTAATACAAGGAAAGAATTGTAAATAATATTGGTATATGGAGGATAAAAAGTGGGAGGCCAGCTGCAAGTGTATAGGAATAGTGAGGTCGAGAGGTAATGAAGGCATGAATAAGGGTTAACATTCATTTTAGGTAAAACCCATAATTTTGTGCTGAGAAACTAATATCACTCAAGTCAGAGATAGAAAAAAAAAAATGCACCCTTTACTATAACTGGAACAACAACATTTACCTGAACTGAGCGGAGGCCGAGGCTTTGGCTGCCTCACTGAATGCAAGCGCCCGGAGGCAACAGTATTGTCTGTGGTCCCATCTCCCTTACAGTCCAGCTGTAAGGAGCTGTCTTGGCCTGGTATTGAAATAGACTTGGCAGTACACGCAGGCCTATGGAAACCAACACAAGGAATTAGCTGCAATATTTTTGTAATTCCATTTTTTAGTTGAAATACTTGGACTGGCAATGTAATTTTTGCAGCTAGGCAGAAGAGAAGGCTGGCAGAATCTGTGCCTGGAACTGCAAACTTTAATTCAGTTCATCTAGCAGCACGGCTGTAAAGAGATTGGGCTCAGATTAAATACAACATTATCTCTTCAATTGAAACCACATTAAAATACCAGAATGGTCAATAAAGTTATGGCAGGAAGCAAAGTTTCTAAAGGAAATCCTCAATAGTTCAACTAAGCAAAAAAAAACAGATAGTGATCGTTTGCAAGTTACTGGCATGATAGCTAGGAGTTGTCTAAACAATGATCATTGCAACCATCTTAATTTCAAGATCATTTCAGAGTTTCCATATTGAGAAAACAGCTATACATAAATTCAAACAATTATCATGGGTTTGATTGCTGGTCTGTTGAGTTTGTTGCTCTCAGTTTAGGCAGTGCTGCGCCTTAAAGACCAGACTCAATGCCCTTGGCCAAGAGATACCATAAGTGGGGCAGAAGAGGAGAGGGGAGTTGGTGGAAGTCAGGCTGACTGCTGCTTAGTATTGCGCCTAGGTACTACTGGACTTTGTTGCAAACACCCACAAGCACATGGCCTAGAGATACCTTGGGCTTCAGAGAATAACACTTGTGAAAGAGTGGGCTATTGGCACCTGTGTAACACCAGTTTGACACATTACCTCCAGGAGGGAGAGCGGCAAAGATAAGTCACTAGAAACAACTTCTCAAAATTCTCAGAACAAGTTAACAACCTGAAAATACCTCCAGGAATGAATAGCATTCTTGCGATCACTGCAAGCATGCAGAAAGATGTGAGCAGCAAGTAAACATCGGTGCCAATAGATCTCTGAAAACTGGAGTGTGTGTGTGTTGGGCGGGAGTGAGGCAAACAGTTTGACCACTGCACTAATCTCTGCCAGGTCAAGGCTGGAATGTTTGATGCTATCTCAGAATGCTAACAAGCCCATAAGTATTGTCGTTTAAGATACTGCCTATCTTCAGTAAATCTCAAAAGGAAATCAATCCTCTGTACACCATGAACAAGCTTCCCGATAATGAAGGGCACAAATGTATACAAAAACTTTTCTTTCCTGTTCTAGGCATTCTTTGTTCCGAAATGCAAAACAGAGTGGGGGGAGGGAGCGAAGGGGGCAGAGGAAGAGAGATGAGGGAGAGCAAGTATCTAAACTCATGCCTCCAGATTCTTAGTTCAGTAATCCAGAGACATTGACTATTATCATAAAACGAGAGAAGCAGCAGCGAAGTGGGAATGTCACAGGACTCCTACTCCCAAACCCCAGGCTAACAGTATTGGGAAATTAGTTTGAATTCCATTATGATAGATCATAAAATTGGAATTTAACAAAAAAAAATTGTGGAATAAGAGTGGCGACTGTTCAGTGAACTGTCATAGAAACACATCGGTTCATTACTGTCCTTTATGGAAGGAAATTCACTGTCCTGATCTGGTCTGACCGGTGATTCCAATAAAATGCCAACTTAGCCAGCTAAACGCTCATCCCATGAACAAATTTTTAAAATTATTGATACCATACCTTGTTAAAACTGTCTTTCTTCATTTGTCTCAATCATTTGACAAAGCTATTCAAACAATCAGTAGTTACAACACATGTAGTGACCATTCAGCCCATCATGTCTGTGCTGGTTGTCTGGAAAATTAACTGTTTTAGTTCCCTCCCTTCCCCCCCCCCAGTTTTGCAAATTCTCTCTTCAGGTAACTGTAGAACTCTTGAAGCAGTTGATCGAATTGCATTTCCAGCATGTTCACAGGCAGAGCAAGGTATAAGAGTCTTACCAGACCATAGGATTGCTCTCATTAGAGAAAGAGACAACTGGTGGCAGCTTAACCCGAGAGTCACTACACCCCAAATGAGGGGAAGAGGTTGAGGAGAGTCCAACTGGTGGTGGGTTACCACACCTCAGGCAAAGTGGCACCTTCCTAGTAACTTCAGCCAGTGCATAAACTGAACCCATGCTGTTGGCATCACTTTGCATTGCAAAACAGCTGTCCAGCCAACTGAGCTGACTGACCCAGTTAGGCACAGTATTCCAGATTCTAATCACATTATAAAATAACATTTTTGCCATTGCTGATCACCTTAAAATCAACATCCTCTAGTTCTTGACCCTAATGCCAACCTGTATGGTTTCTCCCTATCCAGTCTGGCCAGATGCTGAGAGATTCTGAATACCTCTCAGATCTTGATGTGGAATACAGCCCAGACAGCCAAGAGCACTAGAGGGCAGCAGACACACAGGCACTTGGTACTCAAACGAAATATAGAACCAGTGAAACAAAATGAAGATTCTCTAACTGGTAAAGTAAGATTGGTCAGTAATTGCAAAGGAAGCATTGATAAGCAAATTAACTTCAGTTCTGAATGCACTGTGGAGCTAATAAAAATTCAAAACATTCACTGTGTGAAGAAATTTAAGAAAAGGGCCAAAAGCACAGACCAGAACCTGTTGAAGAGACCTGTCGTCTTTGACAGAGGATTAGAGATAGTAGGAACTGCAGATGCTGGAGAATCCGAGACAACAAGGTGCAGAGCTGGATGAACACAGCAGGCCAAGCAGCATCATAGGAGCAGAAAGGCTGATGTAACAGAGGATTATTGACTTCATACTTCACCTCGACTACACTGGTGTCCAATCATTGTGATCCCAAACTGCTGCCAGCCTTGCCTCAGTGGCAGTATCCTTTAGGTCAGAGATTCTTGGGTTTGAGTACCATTTCAATGATTCGAACACACAAATCACCCTGATTACTTAGAATTTAAAATCTGCAGCAGAATCACCCTTGCAAGAAACCTTACAACCGCAAGTTCATTCTGATTTAAATAGATCCTGAAAGTCAAGGTTTAATTGGTCAGTTACCTATTGATTGGGAGGGGGGGTAAAAAAAAGAAAAAATGGAGATTGCTATTCAGTGACAGGTCCAGGATGTGTATGGATCTTTGGTGATTCCAGACAGACATGAATTAGGCTGATGTTGACTCAAACAAACACACAGTCTGTGGTCAATCTCTGTCAGAGGCTAATCTCAATAACTGCTACATGGACATGCCCAAACACTGTGTCAACACTGCTGGGAACTGACGTAGCACCAAGGTCTACTACAGACTAACTCAGCAACGTCTCCGTTCAGTTCTCTCTCATGAAGGTCACTATTTGATATAGACTTCCACAGGCCTGTCAGGGCCCTCAATCATTTGTCTAAAAATTTCTTAATTTATGCTGACACTTGCATTGGCCACCCATTGCCCTGTCCTCATCAGACAGCCACACATTAGGGAGACTGCAGCAAAAAGGCAAAGCCAGAGCCCAGACCAGCATTTTGCATTTACTAAATGTCCTGGTTGTTGAACGTTAAATTCAATCAATACTTCATGAAATTAAAAACTTGTCTCAGTAATGAAGACAATGAAACAATCATTGATGGTCATATACATGCGACTCCAGATCCACAGCAAATATACATGACACTTAACTGCTCCTCCCCAAAAATGGCACAGCAGGTTACACAGTTAAGGAACAATGGTGGATAGGTAACAAACACTAGCCTTGCCAGCTATGCCCAGATCCCATGAAAGAACAAAGCTAAAATGAACCATCCATCAAAGCCAGCGTTACTTTCTGGAGATTTCAGTACCACACCGTATTACATCACTGCTAACCAGCAGGAGCACCAAACAATATGGATACATATAAAATTACACTGCTCAACCTGAGAGGCAAGAAAATATTTCAAGTTTCACATGATACCAGGGGTGCTCCTCACCACCTGCCACCTTGTTTAGATTTTTGAATAGTCAATTTTTGAAAAGAAACTTAGGCATCCATTTGAAGTCTTTCATGGTACGATGAGCTCAACCTCCAAATGTCCTAATACTGCAGCTCTTTCAAGAAAGACCATTTCTTCTTGCAGTTGCAAAGTACTGACAGCTTGCTTTTGTGGTTTCTTCAATCTTTTTGCAATACTCCACTTGTTCAGATAGTTACAAACTGGATTTTCTTCAGTTTGTCACACAGAATAAAAGTAATCTTCAGTCATTCTTCAGCAACATAGCCTTGGCACTGTTTTGCATTATGCCTGATTATGTAAAACCTGTGACTGTTGCTGCAGTTACAACAGCAATAAAGAAGAGTTTTCATTTTGACGATAGAAATTCAAAGCTCACAATAATTCTGTTGATTATCGAGCCACTTCACTCATCCTCACATGAACTCCCAATCTCAAACATGAGTAAATGAGGTGCTTTCAGAGTTGCTTTGGACACAAGGGGAAAGGGGAAAGAGAAAGGTGTGAAGGAAGTGTCAGTTACACATGTCCAGACAACATGTGGTGCTATCATAATGTGCATTGTCAGACAGAGGAGGCATACCAAGCTCCAAGAAGTGAAGCAGAATTAGTATAAGAAAGAGAAAGAACACTCAAATGGTTAAGAAGAAAAAGTGATTCTGTAGTTCAATGCAATGCTGAGCCAGACACTGCAGCATCATCCCAGGTTCCTATCTAAACCGATCAAATAGCAACCAGAGGCAAGACAGAAGACAAACAAACTTATTGCCCATTCTAACAAAAGTGGCCATTTAGTCAAGGTCTTGTTTGCCAATGAAATTGTTGCATGAATTTCACAAGAGGAAGAACACTAAGAGACTAATGTTATAAGTGCTGATAAGTAATGATTTTGATGCGCTACATAGTGCAAATTATAAAAGGTCCCCCTTGTATTACTTTACAATTAGAGCAGAGTTCACATATGCATCAATCATATATATTCAAGGCTGAGATATTAAAAATCTGTCTAAGATAATCAAGGGTTATGGGAAAAGGCATGAAAGTGGAGTTGAGGATTATCAGATAAGATGTGCTCTCAGTGAACAGCAGTTCAGACACACTGAGCTGAACAGATTACTTCAGCTCCTAAGCCTTAAAAATCATGGACAAAAAGTCCTAGTTTCAGAGAAAGCAGGGGGACGCTGATATACAATTACAACCTGACAGAAGGAGGGGAAGGTAATGACAGGGATTTTTGACAGGGAGGGAAGAGAAGATTCTTCAACCTCAAAATGTTAATTGCATCAGGAACCAGCCCCCTTCACAGACTTCATTCCAAGGTTCTTTGCAAATTGATTAAGAACTGAAAGAAGATTTCACCAAACACGTTTCAAGTGGATCACCATACCTCTATAGTCTAACATTAAAATGAGGATTTCGAATGATAATATACTCAATTCTTAGTGCAAATATAGCCACAAAATTGAATCTGTTCTTCACAACTTCCATTTTTCATTAACTGAAGGGTTTATATTAATAAGCAGAGTTATAATTCCTGTGACTTAAGCTGCTGCATGTGCACAATCCATTACACTGACAGATTCTTTGACTCTGTACAGACTTCACTGACAAGACCATTCCAAGAAATGATTTCTGGCCTATTTGATTGCTGCTTCTCTCCAAAGCAAGAGTATGGAACCATCCTTCATCGTCAGTACAATATAATTTTTAGAAAAAAAAGACATTTATATGATGGAATTATTATGCAAATTAACAAAACTATGCTGAAAAGAAAAAAACTGAAATGATCAAATTGCTAAAATTATTCTTATCCATCACCCAAAGCTGTCTAAACTGATAACTATGAAAAGGTGGTAGAATTATACCAAGTTTTTAAACAATTTTATTGAAATGTTTAAAACTGATCCACAGATGCTGCCTGACCTGATGTGATCTCCAGCATTTTGTTTTCAGTTCAGATTCCAGCATCTGCAGTAAATTTGCTCCAGCACAAAACAATAGTTAGGAAGCCTTTGAAATGGCCTGTAAGAGGTCAAATTTATTCTCTCACATTAGAGCGCGCAACTGGTTTTATTCAGTAGTGGGATGTGGGTGTTGCTGTCATCTGTAATCACTCTTAAGGCACTGGTGGCGGTAGTGAATAGCCTACTTGACAACGGAGTGGCTTCCCAGTTCTTTCAGAGGACGGCTAAGAGTCAACCACATTCCGGAAAACTTTTTAAAAAGTCAGTTCCCCTATATCATCAGCTCAATGCTTCTATGATATTCAGTCAAGATGTTTACTCAACTTAATTACTATACTTAATTTCTCTTTTAAAAAAAGATTAAGGATTGAGGTTTAAGATTCAATAGAAATTATGACACTATAGAATCTCTACACATGGCATTGACAGCAACGTACATCTTTGCTGCACTCACTGTTTTTGGCAGACAACTAGCCCACACAGGAAGCTGCCCAGGTAGAGGAGTTTCAACCAATTAGCAAGACCCCACAGACTGCAGAGCATCCTGCATTCTGAATCTCTGCCCACACAATGAAACCCCTGTAAGAATGGGTTATACCAACAGTTAATTTATGCAGACAAATCAACCTTGAAGCAGATCTGTCCCATACAGCTATTTCAGACAGCAACAACCCAGTGAGATTTTTAAAATCCAAATTTATAACTCTGTGGGACAGCCACTAAGATCAGTGTAGATTAGGCCCTCTTACTAAACACTGCTACAGACTTCAAAAGAATTTCCATCCATCTTTTTTGACAGAATAAGCAACTGTTCTTTCAAAACCTTTAAAAATATTTGCCTTTTAATTTGGAGATTCACAATCGAATCTGGTAATGCAGTGGAATTCTATATGGGTCCCAGAAGAAGTTGGCATTTTTATTTTGCAAAACTGAGAAGGTTCTCACTGGATTGAACAGTCACTTTACAGTGTCAATTACTGAGGAATTAAAGCAAATTGGAGCCATCTATAATCTATTTTATTATACTTTGATAAGTTACCACCATGGGGTATTGTTTAATTGTTTTGCTTTGACCATACAAATGTTAAGTTTTAAACACTTAAATAAAATGGTTTTAAGACATTTAGTATTATTTTACCATCTTTTCACAGTTATCAGTTTACCCATCACCAAATGCTGCCTAAGGATAATTTTAGCAATTTGATCATTTCAGTTTTTTTTGGAGGTATATTGTCAGACTCAAACGGAATAATTCAGATTACTTCACAGAATACGTTTGAGGTTTTGTTTGAGTACCTTGAGTTTAAGTAAAGGGAAAAAACACTTTTGGAAGAACCCTACCACTATCAAATTATATTATTAACAACTTTAAAACAAAATCTATACCGGAGGGTTGACTGTCACCAACTTCCTATTTTCAATCTGTCACTGCTACACTGAAATGTAAGGAAGTAAATATTCCTCTGCACATTGATTCTGGTTTTTCCTGTGTTCAGGCAGAGATGGGAGATGCAAGGAAACCTCCTTGCGACTTCTTACCACATCCTGTTTCATTTGACTGAAACAGGCTTCTGGCAACTGTGTGGTCAATATTCGATTCTTGAGATAGTGATAAACACAAAATGAAGGAACTGATGTTGGGAGCTAAATTTTCCTGGTGTACTGCTCTGCTGCTGACCCAGAACAAACATCTAGAGCAGTTACTTTTTAAATACAGGAAAGTAAAGTATGCGTGTGCAGAACATAACTTCCTTTACATTATATCGGCATCTAGAAAAAGCACGTCGGATTGGTTTTTGCTGTGAACTCAGCAAATTGCTGAATTCATGCTCAAAGCTTAGGTAATTATTGAAACACTTACGTTTTGAAACAAGGATCTCCCGACAACAGTTGCATGCCTATGGTGACCTGTGAAGAGAAGCAGTTTGGGAGTGTTACTAAATATGATTTTTACTAATAAAATTAATTGCTGCTTTTGAAGCAGCCATGAAAATGTGAGAAACAGCTGTTGAACAAAATTAAATTATAGATAATTGAGTGATTAAAAGGCACCGATTTCATCCTGGGATCAGAAAATCTCAAACCAAAAGTTTATAAGCCAGCTAAATTCCAAAACAAAATTGCAACCCTGTAATTACTACAAATCCCTTCCCTCCCAACTATTATTGATAATATCTTTGCAAATTTGAAAACATTTGTATTCTGCTGGTGGCATGCAGATCCATAGTGGACTACAATGTAGTAATTTTTCAATGGGTCTACCCTACACAATCCACACAGCAAACCATCTGGTAGTAAGTCAGAGGTGGTAACAAGCAGGACATGTGAAACCAGATGTAATGTGTTTGGAGTTCCAAAGGCATTTAATAAAAGGTACGTGTGCATAAGGCTACTCAAAAATAATCACCCGTAATGTTGGGGGTAGTATATTAGCATGGATGGAGAATCAGCTAAGTAATAGAAGGCAGAAACTTAAGACAAAGCAGCATTTTCATGCTGCAGCCTGTAACTTGGAGTGCTACAAGATCAGTGCTGGGGCTACAATTATTTACAACATAGGATGACTTGGATGAGTGAAGTGAATGCTGTGGATGACAAAAATAAGTAGGCAAGCGGTGAGGACGTCAGTCTACAAAGGCATACAGACAGGTTAATCGAGCAGGCAAAAAACTTAAAATGAATATAATGTGGGGAAATTTAAGTTTATGCACTTTGGTATGAAGATTAAAACAATACATTATTTAAAATGGAGAAAGACTTTGGGAAGTTGCAGCACAGAGGGATTTGGAGGTCCTCATGTATGCATCACACAAAAAAGCTAGCATCCAAGTTCAGGAGGTAATAAGGAAGGCAAACTGACTGCTGGCTTTTATTTCAAAGGGAATGACAAAAGTAGTACAAGCAGTTAGTCAGACCACAAAATGGAATATGTGAACAGCTTTGATCAACTTATCTAAAGGAAGATGTACTGCAATTGAAAGCAGTGAAGGATCACTGGGTTGATTCCAGATATGGAGGGATTTTCTGATGAAAAGAGGTTGAGTGGGTTAGGCCTATATTCATTGGAGCTTAGAAGAAAGACAGATGACCTTATTGAAACGTACAAGATTCATAGGGAACATGACAGGGTAGATGCTGAGAGGTTGCTTTCCCTTGGAGTGTCTAAAACCAAGGGGCATAACCTCAGAGTAAGGGGCCACTTGTTTAAAAACACAGATGAGGAGGAATCTCTTTTCTCAGAGGATAGTGAATTTGTAGAATTCTTTACCAGAGGGCTGTTAAGCACATTCACGCCTGGGATGGACATTTTTAATCTGTAAGAAATCAAAGATTATTGGAAAGAGGCAGGAAAGTGGAATTGAGGATTATCAGATCAGCCACGATCCGAATGGCGGAGCAGGCTCAATGAGCCAAATGGCTTACTTCTGCTCCTGCTCCTAAATCCAATAGAAGTCTTTTTTTGACAAAAAAAATGCTATGCGCTTCTCAAGCTACAGGCACTCTGACTGGGTCTGCAGTCTCAGGAAGCCACCTGCTGTCCATAAGCTCAACTGCAGACCCAGAGGTAGCCTCTTAACTAACTACTTCCTCATGGGAGACTCCGATGTTTGTGTCAGGGTCAGGACCTTGAAGTGATCCTGACTGATGTTCATACTCCAAGAAGAGGTGATTCCAACCTCTAACTGCCTCTCTATACTCTCATGCTTCCATGCTAGCCGAGTTATATGCAGCATTTTGTGTATTAATGAAACTAGTTACCTGTTCATACTGTTGGAAAGAGGCATAACGGCCAGACACCAGAAGAATTTGCTTGAGAGATAGTAGGAACTGCAGATGCTAGAGAATCTGAGATAACAAGGTGTAGAGCTGGATGAACACAGCGGGCCAAGCAGCATCAGAGGAGCAGGAAAGCTGGCGTTTCG